CACACACACACACACAAAAAGTTGGCCAAGTGCCGCAAAATGCATTTGTTTGAATTTGTGCTGGGTGCTGGTGCTGGTGCTTGGGAATCAGAGACTCTGCTGAATGCCCAGGGGGGAATGGTTTGACTTCGAAAGTGGGTCAGAGCAACGGACACCGGCTGGGCCCGTCTTTGGGCCGGGCCAAGAGCAGCGGGCCGGTGAAATGTTTGCGGCAAATGCAGGAATCATGATGATAAATGTAAGGCAATAAGGCCAAAACCTGTGCCCAACTTCGGCACTGCAGCGGGTGCAGATCATAAGAAGGCCATATCGATAAGATACAGGGTTCCATAAACACTCCCCAGACGAACTGATAACAAGAGCCCACCAATGACTGCGACTCGTATACAAATATTGCGGGTACATATTTTACAATCATATGGCATTGCCTTTGCTGCTTTAAATAATATTTCCATAAGAACTCTGTGGGCCAATCCCCTCGGATAGAGGAACAGGTTAGAAGATGGCATCTCGGAAAGTTTCATAATGGCTTGGCATAGATGGCGGATAAGGAAATCACTTGATGGGATTTGTAGATTCGAGCTGGAAAGTAATTGAAGCCCGTTTATGGTCTCGAAACTTCTTATTCAGATAATTTGTTTGGCTAAGAGTTCCACGAAATGCGGTTGTGTGTGTTTGCAGCCAGTTTTATCTCTCCAGCCGAATGCTAGACCACTTCCTCAACTGATGTTTTACAGAACATGTTCCTGGAAACGTTACAGAACATCAGATTAGCCAGACAATTATCGCCATTTCCATTCCCATTCCCATTCCCATAATTCCCATAATAAGCTAAATCGCACGTTCCGCCATTATCAGTTCTCGAAGCAGAAATAATATAAAACCAACAGAAATGTAATAAATTATAACACCCACATGGCACGGCACACCGTCAGCGGCAATCAGGGGGGCAGGGGTCACAGGGGGCCTGGAAATGCAACTACACAATTAGCAGGCAGACAAGGAGAGCGAGTGGAGAGAGGAACAGACAGGCGGAGAGCGAGTGGGAAGAAGAGGAATACATATACATATTTGCAATAATGAAAATAATTAGAAATTCAAATTCAATAAACGCAAAAACGACAAAACAATAAATAACGAGAAAGGAAGGCACTGAGCATCGGATGCCGAAGATTTAGATACGCTTCCAGTTCTAGGTGTTCCATGCCATATAGTGATCCGATTTTAATTGATCGGAATGATCAATTGATTGATTGATGCTGCTTCCTTTCGAGGACGGCGAAAATATCTTTTCCTCCACTCAGCAAAGGGTATACAGAAAAAAACATCTACGGTGAATGGAAATAGAAAAAAACTCATAAATAATCAAACAGAATTTTTATATATTTGCATAGATTAAAGCCTGGGAGACACGATCGTGCATGTCTGTGTGGGCATGAGCAAAAAGAAGACAGAAACAGCAGCTGCGACCTGACATGCGGTAGGCGGTGGGGGGGAGTAATCGAATAAAAAGAAACAGCTGTAAATTCGTGCGAGCTTCTAACACAGAAGGCACTGCTCTTTTCTCTCTCTCTCTCTGCGCGAAAGCTTCGAGGCCGAAATGGCAGCGCTGTCCGTTTTTTTTCATACCCAGGATAAGCACATTTTGCGGGCTACGAGTATGATTCGATGCAAATAAATATTACAGCCATAATAGGGATTAAAAAATGTATTCAATATGCGTGTAGTGGGTATTCCATATTCGCATAGTCTTTGGCTTGTCTCTTGTTGTTGTTGTTGTTGTTCTTTCGGCTTAAAACCAGTTTTCAGCTGCTCACGCATTTCGGCAACAGCGACCGCCACCACAAAAACAACAAAAACGGCTGCTTTGCCGACCATTAAACCGAAAAATAAGCCACTAAATAGCACCACAGCAGTTTTGAGGTTACAAATTCTGCTGTTGTTGCAGCAATAAAACCGAAAAAAAAAAACACAAAACAAAACAAAAACTTAAAGAGCTCTCCAAAAACAGCCAAAGTCTACTCTCCTCTCGAGCGGGCTCTTATCGCCGAACCACTCACAAAAACAAAAACAGCATGGCTGACTGCGCCGACTCCCGGACGACTTTGAATGACTGTCCCACTGTCTCGTCGGGCACGTCATTCAATTTTCTTAATTTTGCTACTCTCCGTTCTACCTGTTAGCTGTTACCTGTTGACTTGGCCATTTTATTGGCGACTCGCACTTGTCACACTGACTGAGTTTTTCTCGACAACTGCTCTGCTCTGAAACTTTACGATGTGTCAGGTCTTTCAAGTCGCTTTGTTTTTCTCGAGCTTACTTCCATGCAAATGGAAAACAAAATGAAACCAAAGGGTAAACAACGGCAATGTGCAATGGCACATACAGTGAATCTTGGAGAACATACAGCAAGGACTCGACACCTTTGTGACCCATAACTGACCTTAGCGGAACCCACACAACTGCGAGATGAAGATAAAAACAAACCAAAAACAGTTGTATATATCACTGTCGAAAGATACATTTGTTATGTACAAATAGGCAAAGTTATGCTAATAGGCCCGCGCGCACGCTTCAGACTTCGATATGAGACCCCAGACGGTTTCGGATCGGGGGCGCAAAACACTGTGATACGATGTATAAAGTACATATCGGCGCCTCTTTGACTTTGTAAATATTTTTATTTACTTCTGGCCCCACAATGTATGAAAATTATCATTCAATGACCCAGGAAGGTATTTATGGGACTATAAACCTGGGGTACGTTAAACTGGTTCTATTTAATGATTGCAATAGTTCGATAAAAGCAGATTTAACAGCTGATAAATCACTAAATTCCCTTATTAATCTTCTTCGATCATTAACATTGTATTCTATATGCGATAACGTACTTATTTTCAGGAGAACTTGTTCTGGTTCTATTATATTATTATACTATACCGTATAGTATATTATGGCAGGTCGTGTTCCCAGTTCTGGAATTGAAAACTTTCATTTGAAATAAGGTAAGTCGTCGAATCGGATATTCGGAAACTCGATGGCTCTAAGATGGCGGTGTTTTGGCTGTGTTTTTGATTAGATAAGCAAATTTATTATTCCTGCGGGCGATATCAAATGTAAATTCTGTCTCACAGCGATAGTGTCGATTGTCGCTTGTCGATTGCTGCTGCTTTGTTGTTGTTTGTTTTTCCATGCGTGGAAGTGTGCGATTGCCAAATGTGTACATACATATGTCTGTCAATCAATCAACGAAAGGTTTTACTGAAGTCTCGTTTTGAATAAATAAAACGAATAGTAGAAACGGCAAGAGGCAGAATAGATTTAGGCCTACAAATTGAATGAAATCTCTTGAAAATGAGATATTCATCGAGCAGGAGACACGCCAATTAGTTATGATCGGGAATACATAGTTTATGGGGCTGAAAACCTGTTCGAAATGCCAGGCGCAACGAAAATAGATCCGAAAGCTCATTCTGAATGTAACCTTTTTGGCCCCCGGTAATCTTGTACTTGAAAATATTCCCAAGATCACAAACACAATGTTCACTTTTTGTTTCAAAGGTCAGAGGATCGTATGACTAGAAAAAAATATGTGCAAGGTTCTATAGAATAAAGGAATAATGGGAATTTGGGTACTCTACGAAAAATACCAAGTAGCTGAGAGGGAACCCCGTGAAAATGCCAGAAATTGAAGCGCAATCATCCCAGATGAACGGCGTATCATCACCATGGGGGGATTTTAAGCTTAAAAATTATATTTAAATTCGAATTCCATGAAAGTTCATTAATTACGATGATTCAGAACAAAACAACACAACCGGCAATCATCCAAACATTTATTTTTACACACACATTTAATTATAGCCTTTATAGACAGCGCCAAACAATTGATTAAAAGCGCAGAGAAGGGGCAAGCGGGATCAAGTGGGGTGCTGGCTTTTCTCGGGAGAGTTCAAGTGAATTTATTGCACTTTGGCAGCTCTGGGCTCGGCTCTGATACACAGAGATACAGATGGAACGATTCGAACGGAGTGCACGAGCACGCGTACAAAACCAATTCAATGTCAACAAGAAAGGAAGGCAGGCTGTCGGCCACCGACGCTATTGATACCCTATTGTTTCCAAGTCAGCTTCGTAAACGGAACATGTTTCATTCATTAGGCAAACGATTCTTATTTGCCAAAGTCTGGTCAAACATGCCTGCCCTCAGAAAAGGGTACTGAAAAAATCAATGGATTTCGGGCTATACAAATTAAACAATTGCTAGAGCCACGCCACTGAAAATCAAAACTTGTTAATGTTCAAATAGAACAACAAAGTTGCTGTGCAGTTTATTGTTTGTCTAATTTCGCTGGCTCATCTTTTTGTAGCCAACCCAAAGCGCGGCAACGATTTTAGGCTGGCAGTGCCGTCCATTCCGAGAGAGAGAGAGTGAGAGAGAGAGTCTGTTTTGTTTAGATAAAACTTAAAAGTTGTTCCTTTTTATTTCCAGCCGTTTCTGTTTTCTGTTTGCCTCACAGGCTGCTGTTCACAGAAATCAATTAACGACTTGGTAGTGGTGTGATGCACAGAAAGCCAAAGCAGAGAAAAATCTTCCGCACAGAAGCAGCCAAGGTACACTTAACAGACGGTAAGGCCTCTCCGGGCAGTGTACATTACCTGCCGCTCTCTCTGCTTACCCCCTGCTTCGTATGCCATGGCAGCAACGTGCTAAACGCTGACACAACACAGCTGACTCGTCTCTCTCTCGCTCTCGCGCACCAACACAGCTGGAAATGTACTGGCAGCGGCCATTGAGAAAACAAAACCAAATAAACACAAAAAACGAAGCAAAAAGATAGAAATTTCGCAACGGTTCGAGATTTTGCTGTGCTACCGTCTCTTTTTTTAACAAAAAATAATAATAATAAGCTACCGATGACGACATTTCGCCCGTTAACACGATTTCTTCGACTGTTCCCAGAGGAAATGTTTACAGAAAAATACACTGTCACTCTTACCTCTCTTTTTACTGTTGTTGCGCGCAAGAGAAAGATGTGTGGCAGAGAGAAAGAGAGCTGCCTCTGCCTCTCCAGGTGCCTGCCTCCGCACTGACTTGACTTTCACAAAAATAAACTCGAAAACAGCAAAAAATATTTATTTGCGTTTTCTTTTCACTTTGTATCCGCTTCTGCTGCTGCTGCTGCACTTTCTCCGCAGAGGAGTCTCACACACAATTTTCACGTGCCCCGGAGGAAAACAGTTTTCTTTTGTATGCTATTTATCTGGTCAGTGCCGTTGCTGTTTTGTGGGCCATTGAGCAATTTTTAAGACACTTATACACTCACACTCAGGCACTCCACTCACACAGGTACGAGACGCACTCACGTACTTCTGTGCGCTTCTTTTGTTGCTGGGGCTGCACTTTTTCGCCTTTTGCTTATATTCTCGCTCTCCTTCACAATTTATTTACCTATTTGCACAAACGAGCACGACCCCCTTCGATGCTGGGGGGGGGTGACGAGGAGAAAAAACAAGGCAACTCTGGCCTGTTTACACGACTTTTGATGTTTTTTTGCCCACACTACGACCCGACCCGCGGATTTTTCGATAAAATACATCGTTTGACCCTCAGAAATATACCGATATACCGTCTCACTGGAACAAATGTTGCTGGTGCTTTAAAATGTTCCTCGGCCACATGATGCGGAGAGGTTATGTTGTTGAGTGAGGTAAGGTTGGTATAGCATTCTGTTTACGCTGCTGCGTCTGTTTCTTCGTAGTCCATACCTGCCCATATCCCATAACAAGCACAAGACTCATATTTGCGTACTTACGATTGAGCTTTTATTGGTTTCTCCCGCGATCGATTCGATTACGCTGCGTGCGGTCACAGTGACTTTTATCGAAACTTAATTTAAAATTTTTTGAATGAAATATTGAATACGCACCAACGCAGAGGTAGAGATATTCAAGAATGTATTGTTTACCTGTTGTTTTCACGACAAGGCAAGTGAAGTATTTCTTACCGATCGAAAAGCAGCAATGAATGTATATTTGATTTTATTTTGAAAATTATAAGACGTTGGGGACTATTTATATGAGCGATCAGCCTGAAGTGTCTCAAATATTAAGAGATATATAGAATTCCGGAATATCAATACAATTTGACAAGTGCTACAGAGTATCTACATCCCAGCTACATGGCCCGAGGCGAAACTATGTGCAATTACATTTGACATTCTACATGGATATAAATCTAGCATGCAAAAACCTCAAGCTCATAGATTGGTTTTTATAGAAAGTCTGCAGATATTCGACAATTAATGGCTATATTTGAAAATTCCACATTTCCATTGCACCTGCTTTCGCACGGCTAGAATTTATAAGTATTGCTCTTAATTGTAATCTATAATTTTAAATTAAAACCAAAATAGGATAGAATATATGTAGTAATATCTGCTCAGGCATGCCAAGAAATGCATATACAAATATATTTTTCAACGAATTTCTAAATCTCTCTACAATGAACCTGCATTCTCTAGCATAAAGTAAATCCAATCAAAACGTTTGAAACTCCGACAAAATGCCTTTGCCAAACATAATTTAATCGTAGACAAACAAACAAAAGAGGTTTAATTTTGTGGAAGTTCTGCCAAAGATTACGAATAATAAACAAAGGAATGGAAATGGAAATGAAATTATAAGCTAAAACCACATATGTATGCCCTGAGTTTCGTCAGAAGTTTAATCTATAAAAGGCAACAAAGGTTACATAAGAGCTTCACCAAATCTATTGTGCTCCTTCCACAACTCTGAATGCAATTCTTTGCTTGGATTATCTCAAAAACCGACTTCTTTTTGAACAGAATTTTCCTCGAAAACGTATTAATTTGCAAGGAGCTGTTACTTTAGATCTATCCGAAAAAAGACCCCATTAAGTACTCATTAGGTTCAGTCAACTGGAAATGTGGCTAGCCTGTAGTCCCTTTATTCCCATAATGATTATTCAAATTATTAACAAGCCTAGAAATTTAATTACTCCAAAACAAGGAACCCGAAACAGCAAAAAAGAAATAAAGGCCAAAACGAAGGCATAAATTGTACCCTTTTCATGTTGCTTTCTTGGTAAACGAAAGGGGGGGCATGGAAAAATCACAGAAACAATATCTTCATTCAGAGAGGTCCTCTCAGTAAATTGCTGCAATAAAATTGAAGAAATGCCCAATGGAAGTGCGACTGTTTGTTCCTGTCAACTTTTATTTGTTGCCTCTCGCGTTGATTACGGGAGAACTTCCTGCCCCTGCCCCTCCCGCTCCCCATCACCGAGTGTCCTTCTGCCTGACGCAGCAAACAGAAGTCAAGCGAAACGCCAACATCACCACTTGCCACAGAATTGAGGGGCAGAGCGGGCAGAAAGGAGTGGAAAGAGGGGAAAAGAGAGAGAGTTCTCGTGTTTTTGATGATGATGACAACGCCACAGGAGCAGCACCAGCAGCAGGATGCTGATGATGGAGTGAGGCAAGAGGAGGGATAATGATGCCACAGCATCAGTCCTTTTCATTATTCGTGGGGCAAAGTGTTGCCGAGTTTATAATGAGCGACAGGCCCCTTGCCTCCAGCCAAATTCACGAGCAGCAGGCCCTGCATCCAGCAATTGGGGCAGGAATAACGGACACAGCAGCGGGATTTTGTTCAGTAAAGTTCGAATGTCGTAGATCCACGATTTGAGGACTCCGTAAACTTAAGCTGAAAGCCATCATCCAAAGAGGTCGTCTCCATCCGATGCACCTGACTAGCCGTCTAAGGAGGGTCCTGGTCTTGGATCCCCATCAACACAACTAATCCCAGGAATTTTCCAAATGATGGACACATCTGATGGACTCGATGTCCGCTCCACCAGCGCCTCCTCTTCAATTCCTCTGTTGTTTCGTTTTTTTCATTTCTGATTATTGCCCAGGGCGCACCGCACACTGAGAGAAACTAGCAGAGTTCTGTGTACATGTATGTGGATAAATATATGTATAGATATTTTCCTGAGTTTCAGTTTCTTTAGGGTTTTCTGCAAGTGTTTGCCTCCTCTGCTGTGGCTCTGTTTATCCCTGGAAAAGACGACTGCCTGATTGCAGGCTCTGTGCCATTGAAAGATGCTATGACAATGAGGAGGACCCTTAGGAGGAGGCTCGGTCGTTGTCATCTGCTCCCCCCCTTTCTGTTTATCTTCCTTGGACTTGGATGGCAAGGCAAACACTTTAGCCAGCCGGCACCCTAAAGGGTTCATGGTCCGGCATTTAAGGAAAACATCAACTTGACCACCAGGCATCCACTGAATCATTCATTCATCATCAGTTGCCTGTCGGTCTCTTGTCTGCCATTCATTGCCAGAATCCAATTAGTTCGTGCTGATGTTCTCCATTCAAAGTTAAAGCCGTGCAGCCTCGGAAAAGCTCCACGCCGCATAAATTATGGCTCTGAACTGGCACTGATTTATCATAAGAATAAAAGGTAACTCGATTTGTACAGATAATGACCCAAAAATGGCAAATAACTGGTAAAGCGATAATTATGGCTGAAAGCGTTCTATAATTATCCTGATTTTGGCCGAATTTTGGCAGTTGTTTTGGACTCAATGAGAGATTTGTCTCCGAAACTATCAAATAAATAAAGTCCGCGAATAAAAACGTCCTGCTTTAATCTGTGAGCACCAATCTCACGCGCCATGCAGCAGCTCCTCTCGGCATATGGTGGTGCGTTATGCCTTCAGCTTAGATCTAAGGAAATCTACTTCGGATTAAGGCACTAAAACGTGTAGCTACCGTGGAAAAGATATCCCGAAAATTAGGTTTTTCTGACAAACAATTTGCGAGTCAATTTCTTGGCAATTTTCTACACCCAAAGAAAAAAGCCCTCACCATATTTAATATAAAAAATTAATTATTTAAATTAAATGTTTATGTTTTCTAAAATGTCATATTTATCCATATTTAATATTTAAATAAATATTTAATGCTATGGGCGTGTTTCTTCTTTTTATTTTTCATTATTTCCCGCATTAAAAATGTCCATTTTTAATGGGGAATTATCAAAGTTTTAGCTGCCATAAATTGACTTTCAAATGAACACAATTTATGGCCTAAAGTCGATTTGGAATTATTAAATAATATATTTTAGTGGTGACCTTTTTTTGTTGGTCACAAATCCTTGGCCCGGCCCACAGCCAAAGAGCTTTTGCGAGTAGCAGGAAGGGGGAAAGGGGAGGGGGGACGGTGGAGGGGGGCTTGGGAGATCAATAACATGTTAAAACACGTAACAAACTCGGGGCTCGTCACGGCGCGACACGTAAAAATACGGCAAAGCGAAGGAGAAGCAGCAACAAAAAAAACAATAATCGATTCGCCTTCAGATTCGAAAAGGGCAAAAAGTAGGCGGGCTGGTGGCAGTGGGGGAGGCCCCAGGGGGATGAACAAACAGCGCGCCTGCCATGGCAATAAAGTTAGAAATCACGCTGGTGGCATGCAAAATCCCGCAAAGATTTTGGCCCCATTTTTCCCCAGGCAAAAGCTCGGGGCAAACGCCATGAAATATTTCCCTTCAGACCCGACCGGAGACAAACAATAGCCGGGTGTTCCACAATGGAAACAAGTTAACTAAGACAACGGAATCCGGAGAGAGGAGAGAAGAACAAAGGACCCGGAGGAGAGGAGCTGCTGGCACGATAAATGCATATAAATCGCGTTAATTTCAACCGCGAGCACAGTTTAAATAACTCAAATGGCCCGGAAAGCTGCTGCCTGCTGGCGACACCTCCCCTCCCCCCACCACACTGACTGGACCTGCATCTAAGCCTGATAAAATGGTCTTCTGCAAAGCTCAAGACAAATAACGAAGGCCCCACCAAGGCACGAGGGGATGAAAAACGATTGGAATCCCGAGGAAATTACGTTGTGAAATGTTTGCCACAATTTGTTTTGCTTTTTAATGAGTTATTCAGTATGCAGGGGCAGGCAGGCATCTGAAAGGGGCATGGAATGAGCAGTCGAGAGGCCATTTAAGAGGCTTTAAGCTGAATGCTCTCCTCCCCCTCCCACTCCCCCTCTCCCACCCCAGGGCGATTCTCATGCTCCAATAATGCGACCAAGTGTTGGCGAGTTATTTTAATTGCTGGCAATTATTATCCGCATTAAGTGTTTTCTAATTGGTGGCTAATACAAGGCGACTAATGAAAGATTTGCAGCAATTTACCATGTTCGCACATTAACGATCGATCATTCGCTTGAAAGTTGCCACAAGAACTCATTTATTACTGCTAAGCTGCGCCGTGAGAGAGTCAGTCACGGTTAACGACATTCTCGCTAGAATAACGATCCAAACTTAACCAGATTCGCGAATCTGGTAGATCAGATGATTCTCTATAGATCTGCATTTTCTTTCAGCTTCAGCATTGTAAGTGACACAGAATTTTCGGCATTTTGGAGGAAGAATCCGAGCAAAAATGCCTCTGAGGAAAATACAAGATTGATTGAAGATTCATCTTTAGAGATCTTACAAATACTAAAAGATCTTAAAGTTCTAAAAGTCTAAAAGTAGCTCCTTTGGAGCTCCCTCGAAAAAGGATTACCGTGTCCTTGTCCATTGGAGTTTTCGCTTGAAGCTTT